CAGTCATTAATTTAGAATGTAAATATGAAGGAGGTACTGGAGGATTGGAAACCCCTGATCACACTAATGTTTACACAAATCAGTAAATTCCCAATTGGTGAGTCCTTTCTCCTCTCTACTTTCAAAGGTGTCCTAATTATGCAAAATTGTGCCGTCAGTTGCCTTGGATATGAACTAGTTACTAATTACTGGTACCAGAGTCTTGGCTGTTGAATTTTTCAACTTCTGAAGACCTATTTTCAATCAGAATCTGGCACTAATTCTAATGATTCTTATTTCACTTGTGATGGGGGTGGGAGGGATGGGAAGGTGAAGATATTTGCACTTTGAATAATCCCCAGCCCTTGGCATCTTCCTAATAAGAGCCTTCTCCTGTCATTAGTGCTGACATAGCTCTGCTCAGTTACGAAAGACCATTTCCCCCAGCAATCCCCTTCCGCTCAGAAAAAGCTGGATCCCTTTGACATCTTCATGTTCCGAATACTCCCTATCAGCCTGCAGCTTGTTTTCTATGGTGTCTTTGATTAAGGCTTTCTTCTGTCAGCACATTTGAATAAATAATCCTCCCGCCTCTCTTTTGTTATTGGAGTTCTTGCTTGCTGCCTCTGGTCTCCAAGACAGCCCTTGACTTTTATTGCCAGGGATTAAGATGCCGGTGAAATCCATCCTTGCCTGCTGCAAATGCCTTGCAAGGGAGTCCTTTGAAAGCACTGACTTCTTTTCCGTTTTCAGCCCTGAAACAGCAGTTACTTGGAAATAGGCCTTCAGAACCTGGCTATTAGTTAATCATCTCTGCAGACAATAGCTGAGGGGCAACAAAGACGCTGAAAAGAAAAGGCTTCATCATCCCTCATTTGTGACTCCCAAGTGGTAGCTGCTAAAAGTGACTTCTGCAAGTAGGCAGCTGCTTCTGATAGTTAGACTTAATCAGATAATCATAGGGCTGGGAGAGCCCTTAACCCACCCTTCTGCATTAGCCAGGGCCTGCAAGGCCTTCTGAAGACTATTCCAGAATCCTCAAGTGCTGTCCTCACACCTACACTTGGAAAAGTCAAAACATATTGGGGAGAGGAGATATCTACTCCTTCTTGGAAGAGAGGCAGAAAGACATTTTTGACACTCAATCTTCTCTTTTCTTCCTGAACAATCTTTGGAGAGATATCAATCCTAGTCCTCAAATATCGTATGAGGTTATCATTATCCTCATTTCACATATGAGGAAACTAAGGTTCCAAGAGGTTAAATTACTGGCTGTGAAGTGAGAGGATGAAGATAGGGTGACCAACCATCCCAGTTTGCCCAGGACTGGGAAGTTTTCTGGGACCCAGGACTTTCAATGCCAAAACCAGGACACTTCTGGGAAAGCCAGGAAGGTTCTCACTCTAAGTTTGAACCAGGTCCACACTGTCTCCAAAGGCTTTCCTCTGAACTCTGGTACCACCCTAAATTGTCCTCAGCCTGAGATCTGGCCCTGGGAGAGATCTGGCCCATGGCAGCATGATGAAGAATTCAGAGTTCATTTCCCTCTGAGTCAGAGAACAAAGTCAGGGGCGTCAGCTTTGGGAGGTCAAGCCAGGACACCAGACCTTCTTGCAGGTTCCTCAGAACTCACTGGAAAGACTAGTCCAGGAGCTGACTCTCCAGATTGGTGAAAGGCAGATGCAAGAGTATGTACCACCATTTATGCAATTCGCCACATCAGAAGACATTTTACAAGAGCCTTTGAATCATTACCCACTTCACTGCCAAGGCCTCGTTACAGAAACCTCAGAGAAGGCCACGGGGGAGGTAGGTTCTCGCTGAATGCACAGAGCAGAATTGCACTGAATTAGTTTAAAAAGTCAGACCACAGTATATTTTTCCCAAAAGTAGAAATCAAGACTTTTAGACATTTCCTTCCTTTCTTCCTTCTTTCCTTCCCTCTCCCCCAAGGGATTTTCTCTTTCAGGATGTCTCCCTGGACTGCAGAAGAAGGCCAGGCACTGACTAAACACGTGGTTGTACCTAGGGAAGACCACACACACACACACACACACACACAGTGACACAGTGCCAGGTGTTACCCTCTAGTTGCTGGATCCTAGGTGGTGTGAGGAGGCCCAGGTTGTTGAAGGAGAGGACTAGGGAGCCTCGGGAGTGGCTACTTACCAATGCTAAGGGAGTGGACTCTTTCAATGTTGTAACAATTGGTGAAATTGTACTGTGCATTGAGGCTTCTCTCAGCCCATGGTTACCCGGGGCTCCCTCCTCTCCATCCACGTGCTCCTGACTCTCCCCTTGCGGATGGACAATTAAAACAGAAAGGATCTCAGAGAGATCCTCTAGTTCCACTCCCTCCTCATACAGACAGGGGCTGAGGCACGGAGAGATGGGAGCTTCCAAAGTCACCGTGAGTTCACCTGGCACCTCTGGGGTGGAGAGCAGGAGGCAGGAAGAAGGTCTGTAGCTTCTAGTCAAAACTCTTCTCTCCCTGAAGCTGACTCATGATTTTAGCTCAAATTATTTTCAACTCTTTCTCCACTGTGTCAAACATGCAGTTTTAGGGGGTGAGGGGTGTCGTCTTCAAACTCTAAATCTTTGTTAGCTCAGTCCTCCTTTCTCCTTCCTCTCTGTTCCCAAGTAAAAATCACTCACAGACATCAAGCGTCTTAAATAGACTGAGCTCAGAGCTTGGTTGGGGGTACCTGTAGGGCCTGCTTTACCTCTCCTGCCTGAGGCTCCCTGAGTCTCAAGTCACAAGTCACAAGTCACGGTTGGGAGTGGCTGCGAAGGTCGCGCCCTGCAGTGGTTAGGAGCGTGGACTGTGCCTGGGTTTGATGCCGCCCAGTCAAGCAAGGTTTTTATCAAACGACTTTGTTTTTCTTTACCCCAGCTCCCACCCCCTGCTTTCTAAAAGCACGGGGCCCACCCCTGACATTTCAGTAGTGGGTGTGGGGACTCTCTTTCCTCACCCTGTGTGTTAGGGGATAACAATCAGGTTGAGGTGGCCCCAACCTGCAATATCTTATCATTCATGGAAGAGCAAACTCTTAGGTGATGCTGCACCCCCACCCCTCTTGAGAATGTCACCGTGCTGCTTCCTGGACAGCTCCTGCCAACACAGTAAGTCCTAATGCTGAGGGAGAGAGGTGAGGCATTCCTGGGTGAAGAAAGATGCCTCCTCCCTCCCTCCTTCCACAACTGGGGTGACACACCCCCTTCCCAGGCACCTTCCTCTCCTCCAACCAATAGCAGGAGTGGATCTCAAGGAAAGCAATGCTTGCGACCTCCCCATGCATTAGACTCTGGATGAAACCACATGGAATGAGAAGAAACTGTGGTTCTTAAGTTGAAGAGCAAAGGCAGCATGAACCACACCAGATGGAACAGCCTTGCCCAGGACCTTCTGTAATGGGTGCTGCTTATGCGCCACCGCATCCTAACTCCCAGTCATCAGCTGACTCAGGACTCCACAAGGACAACAAACGGATTAGGTCAGATGATGGAATCCACGCTTAGGAGGAAATACCTACAGTTCACTGAAAGGATGACCTAATCATTACGAGGTATACAAGAAACTACAAAGAACACGTACAGAGAGAGATTATGTTATAACTGCCAATGCCTCCACCAGGGGACTTGTGAAACCCTGTGCCAGGAGCAGCCAAGGGAAATGTCTCCAACCTAGGCCAGCTGGCATCCTCTTCTGTGTCAAGGTTCTCTGTCCTCTGCTGATCCTCTTCTGCTCCCCACACTGTTCCACATCCAAGCCAGGCTGGGCCAGGAAGGGCACTCTGGGAATTAGAACTTCTACGCCATCTGCAGAGAATTCTCAGTCTCTCTGTCTTGCAAGTTCGTGTTTCAGGGGTGACTTTCAGCAAGTAAGCTCCTATGCCGTGTCTACCCCCTTCCTAATTTGCTTCTGTGCAAGTCAGGTTTGGGCCCTTGGGGGGTTTATATCTTTCATGGTGAACTTTCTCAAGTGCCTTTGGTAGTTCTCTGTCCCCCAAGAACTGGCTTTTCTCTCTCGGCACCATTGCTTGCTTCCTCATGCTTCCCTCATATTTGTCCCCACTGTCCAGATATCACTGCCTTCTATATGGCTCTACCAACACCCCAGTTTGCTCAAGCACTTGGGGGTTTTAGGTTTAACTCTTTTTTTTTTTTTAGATTGGCACCTGAGCTAACATCTGTTGCCAATCTTCCTTTATTTCCTTCTCCCCAACCCCCCCCAATACATAGTTATATATTCTGGTTGTAGGTCTTTCTGGCTCTACTACGTGGGACGCCACCTCAGGGTGGCCTGATGAGTGGTACCAATCTGCGCCCAGGATCCAAACCGGTGAAACCCTGGGCTGTGGAAGCGGAGTGCGTGAACTTAACCACTCAGCCATGGGGCTGAGTTTACCTATTTTGTGCCCACCATGTGTAGGCTCCACAAAGATGACTAAGGAAAACCTGGCTTCTTGTTGTATCTAGTAGTGATAGCTCCATTTATTGAGCATAGACTATGTTCTAGGCACTATGCTAAGTGCTTTACATACATTATCTCTAGTCCTTACAGCAAACCTGAGAGATAAACATCATTATTACCATTTTTTTTTAAAGATTGGCCCTGAGCTAATCTTCCTCTTTTTTTTCTTCTCCCCAAAGTCCCACAGTAGATAGTTGTATATTCTAGTTGTAGGTCCTTCTAGTTGAGCTATGCAGGATGCCGCCTCAGCATGGCCTGATGAGCGATGCTGGGTCCACACCCAGGATCAGAACCGGTAAAACCAAAGCAGGGCCACCAAAGCAGAGCATGAGAACTTAACCACTCGGTCACGGGGCTGGCCCCCATTATTCCCATTTTACAGATGAGGAAAATGAGTCTGAAAGAAGTTACATAACTTGCCCTGGATCACATAGATGGTAAGTAGCAGAGGTGGGACTTGAATCCAAGTCTGCGTGATTCAGAAGCCCATACTTTGTCCTTTCTACCATTCTTCTAGTCACTCAGCAAACAGTTATGGAGCACCTACCATCTCTCAGATGTTGTTCTTTCCTTGTGGAGTATAAAATCCAGCTCACTTCATCCTTCACCCTAATTCTCTTGATCTGTGACAATGGAGAAGTTCCTGAAGCCCACCGCAAGGCAAAGTCTAGAACAGCGAAGAGAAGGAAAATAACTACCCATCTGCAGGTGTTAATTTGAAGTTTGTCAACCACCAGGAGAAAAAGAACTATATGAGAATTACTGTATCAGCCATATATTTCTGGTTTACACATCCCAGGCAGCTGGCGCTCTCAGGCAGCGACAGATGCAAACATGTGGGATAGGAATTCACTGAAATACAATAGACAAGAAAAGCAGCAGGTAAACTTGAGTCTTAAACCCTTCTAGACTGTTTTGCAATCTTTTCATGGTTAGTTGCAGTGTTGCACTTGATGTTTCTAAGAAATCAACAGCATCGTTGATCCCATCAGACACAGGAGAAGACAAGAGGCTGATAGATTGTGTGCTATTCCTTGGATATGTAGAAAATCAGTGGTGATATAAAGACCTAGGATCTAAATGTGTAGGAAAAAAACTGACTGTGGCCAGCTATTTCCCTTATTTGTGGGTTGTTGAAATAGTTTTAATTTTGCTGAAAGCCAAGCAAGCTTTTTTCATTTAAAAAAAAAAAAGGTGCATAGAAATAGAGAACTGATATAGTGAAACTCAACTGCCATGGCTGGTGTGGAGCCTAAGCACTGAAGCATACTTTATCATATTTTAAAGGATTTCTTGGATTGGAAGAATTGTTGGTAGCACTTTTCTGCTTCTTCCCTGTTAACTGAACCCTGATTTTGTTCAGATATCAAGGAAATTTGTCTGGGGAAGTTGGAGCCTTCCCTCAGGCCCATGAGATGAGCCATGACCAGCCTGATTCATATTCTCTTTGCAAACGATGGATTTAGCCAATGTGGTGGTCATGTGACCCAGTTCTGAGCAAGGAGACATAACTGGAAGTCTGCTAGTGGCTTCTGGAAAGATTTTTCTCTCTAATAAATAGAAAGAGATGCTGAAGAGGAAGCCCACATCCCTTCCTACCTTTCTTTGGATGTTTTTGTTTAAGGACGTGATGTACTGAGCTACTGCAGCAACCTTGTCACAATGAGGGGAGGCAATGCTGTCACACTGAGGGCTACAAAATGAAGGACAGAAAAAGCCTGGGTTCTTGATGACTTCTTTGCACCACTGAAGCTGAAACCACCTATCTGCAGAGTTCTTAAGTGATCTAAAACTGCTCTATGGTTTCTGCCACTTTTAGTTTCATCTCCATGATACACTGGATAAAGAGAAATAGTTTGAAGCCAACACATTACACAAGAGGAAAAGAAATGTGTCTGAACCAAGATGAGAGTCTGCTGATGCCAGACTCTCTGTCTGTTGGGTTGCACAGCCTTTAAAGGAATTTAGAAACTGAGTAAATTGCACATATTTATTGAGCACCTACTGTGTGCCAAACACCATGCCAGGTGCTGGGGTGACGATAGGAGACAAGGCAGGCAAGGTCATTGAGGTTGTGGCAATCATGTTCTGGAAAACAGATGATAAGGAAGAAAATAAGAATAGGTGCAAACATTCTCAGGCAACTTTCTAAATATGGTTCAAAACAGTCCTGAGTGTAAAGCCAGACTCCGCAACCTGACAGATCTGGATTCAAATTCCACCTCTACCTCTTGCTGTGACCTTTGTACGTTCTGTTTAATCTTTCTGAGTATCAGTCTCCTCATCCGTAAAATGACAATAATAAAAAACTAACTCAGAGTTGTGAGATTATATAAGCAAACAAACTTTCTGTAAAGTGCTTTAAATAGACCCTGGAACACAGTCAGTTTCTCTAGATTCTAGATGATGATGATAATGATCATGATGATGATGATCACTATCATCATCATCATCATCACTGTCATTGTCATAATAATTTACGCCAGACACTGTGGGTGTCAAAAGATGAACAAGACATAGACACTGCATTCAAGAGATCTGGGAGGCGAGAATCCAGATTTGGCCATAGAACAGTCAAAAGTTAGGCAATGAATTAGGCTGGAAACAAAAGAATTCCTCTGGTAACCAAGGTTGGAGCAGGCTAGGCCCCCTGTCTCTACTTTTCTCCCACACATGTTTTACAACCATCACCCCCTTTTCTAAGAGGGAAAGAGATATTCTGAATGATTGCTGCTCTTCTTTCACATATAGCCGCTGTTCCCAAGAGAATCAAGTGGGCTTTTTCTTTCTCCAATGAAGTGAAAAATTTAGGATGTGTGTATCTGGGTGGCGCTTACCAGTTTGTGTTACGTACCAGCAAACACACACAGATACTCCCATAAATGATCTCACCGAATCCTGTCTCCCTTCCTTCATCCTCTCAAAAATCATGCCCACTTGGTGTGTTTAGCATTCTGCAATTGACTATTAACTGCTGTATCTAGATATAAAATAAAGAGAAACATCAACTAACCAGGTCCCCACACCCACACACATACCCTCACCCTTAGAAACATTTCCACTGATGGTCACTCGTACCACCGAACAGTTTCTCACACTTGGAGTACATCCTCCCACCGGCGTGCTCACACACTGGCTTTTTATCTGAGCTCTCATGGGGAATCTTTCAACTCTTAGATAGGAATTTCATTAACAAAGGCAAGAGAGGGGAGGTCAGGAGGAAAGTACAGATGCAGGGAAAAAGAAATTAAGATAGTTTTGAAGGAGACCTAAAATAGTATCATCCTAGCCTGAACCTCCCTTATAACTGATCTGTATTTGTACGTTCTGTGCCTGAAAGAACAACTTTTCATTGATTGGGCTATTGTCCAGGCTCTTAGCTTGGCATCCAGCCCACAGAGCTGTGAAATCAACCTCACCAAGCCTTTGCTTTGAAATGAGGCAACCTCTAACTGGAAGCCCGTTCAAAATAAGGAACTTGGCACAAGGGTCCAGGGTCCTGTGTTTCTTCCTTCTTCTCTCAGCTGCATGTCTCTCATCCAATCTTGTGAAGCGTCTTACTTGGCTCAGAAAGTGATCAGGGACGAGAAGGTAGTGCCGAGAATGTTCCATGAGACTCTCAGAAGTCACCGCCTGAATATCAAACCTGAATAACCGGGAGAGATGTAACCTCGGCATACTTTCAGTTGTTTTCTTCCTGCCCACGCTGCAGGTTTTTCAGGTCCTTGCTTGAGCGTGCAGTCACGGGCGTAAATAAACGTGCTATCAACAGCCTGCGTCAGCCAGCCCAGCTATTTAAGCAGGCTGGCATCAGCAAACCCGGCTTCCAAACCCAGGACTTGCCTTTGCCACGTCCACGTAAGTAGCTCTCAGAGGTTTGCCTTTAACGCAGAGGAATGAGGTCGGGTAGAAAGTGGACTGAAATGCTGTAGTTTCATATTTGCTATTCTGTTGGAAAAAGGGAGAAGAAAAGTCAAGAGCTGGCCCCTGGGCAGGGAGCCAGAGAATGCTGCTGGGTGTAAGATAGCAGACCCTTGCAATATGTGCATGGGCTGGAGGTGGACTTGGAGCAAGGGAGAGTCCATGTGGGCCATTTGACCAGCAGCTAAGATGTTTATCTTGCTCTCTCCTATCTCTGAAGGACGTTTTGAAGCCAGCGCTTGTATGGCTATGCCAGATGCACGTTAACTTATCATTTAGAAGCTGGTATTGCTATTCTACATCTCAGTGTAAAATCGCACATTAAAGCATTCAGAAATAATTTTGTGTTCAATGTCAGGGGAAAGCGGAGGCGTTTCTGGGTTGAGTAGAGGTGGCTCAACTGTGAATTTACAGTGCTATTTATTGTTACTTCTGGCTCTTATAACACTTATCAGTTATAACAATAAAAACATCGATCTTGGGGCCGGCTCCGTGGCCGAGTGGTTAAGTTCGCGTGCTCCGCTGCGGCGGCCCAGGGTTCGGATCCTGGGCATGGACATGGCACCGCTGGTCAGGCCACGTTGAGGCGGTGTCCCACATCCCACAACTAGAAGGAACTGCAACTAAGATATACAACTATGTGGGGAGGGGGGCCGGTTTGGGAAATAAAGCAGGGGAAAAAAAAAAAAGGAAGATTGGCAATAGTTGTTAGCCCAGATGCCAATCTTTTAAAAAAAAAAAATTGATCTTGTTTAAGATGAAAAGGAACCTTGTGCTCTGGGGTTTTGAGGAAATGTAGGTATGTGATATTTGAGCACACTGTTATCCAGGTATTCGGGTAAACTGTTAAGTAAAGTGGAATAAGAATCCTTGAATAAAAAAAAAGCACAACACACCCCATAGTTGAGGTGAGAAGGTCTTAAAGAGAAGGAGAATGCCAAAAGTTCCCATGAAGCAGCACTGCCCCTCGACAGGGTCCAGCGGTGTAATTGGTTAAGTAGGGTTAAGTATAACCAGAGCAAAACAGAGGTAGTGGGAGGGGGAAGGGTAGAGAAGGGGGAGCAGGCAGTAGAGGATTTATAATTAGACATCATATTCATAAAATGCATATAGGAGTACAATAAGGAATAAAGCATGACTTTAATTCGATAGTTCATGCTTTTAGATCAAGAATCTGATGATTAAGATTTAGAATCTGGGGATTGGCCTGGTTGCCTAGTGGTTAAGTTCAGTGTGCTCTGCTTCCCAGGCCAGGATTCAGATCCCAGGCATGGACCTACACCACTCGTTTGGTGGCCATGCTGTGGCAGCAATCCACATACAAAGGAGGGGGATATTGGTACAGATATTAGCACAGGGCAAATCTTCCTCAAGCAAAAAGAGGGAGATTGGCAAGAGATATTAGCATCGGGTGAATCTTCCTCAGCAAAAAAAAAAAAAAAGAAAAAAAAAGATTTAGAATCTGGTGAAAGCCAAGAGCCTTTCCCAGGTAGAGCCCCCTCCCCCCAGCGCTCAACACACACCTTGATGCTCATTTTCTGGACCCCTAGAAGGCCACGGATCCTAAATGAAGACCTCTGGTTTAAGCTAATGCATTATTTTTTAACTCAGCTGAAGCTACTACTAGGGACCTACAGAGAAGTCATGGGGAGGTGAGACCCTTAACACGGCGGGCACTTCTTGGCCACCAAACTGAAGCTCCGTTGTAAGGTTATAAAGGTCTCATTGTGATCAAGCAAATAATGATTAAGGGGCTTCTCTGAGCAAATGTAAGTTGGGGGCTGGGAGGAAGAGAAAAGAATTAAAAGGTGGAAACGGTTCTCATAGAGCTTGAAATCTAAAGTATAAGGACATAACTAGTAAGAAGCCAGGCAAAAAAATAGTACACACTATATGATTCCATTGGTGTAAAATGACAGAAAATGCAATGACTCTATAGTAACAGAAAGCAGATCAGTGGTTTCCTGGAGAAGGGGAGCCAGGAGAAGGGGAGGGGGGGTTACCAAGGGGCACAGGAAACTTTCGGGGGCCATGGCTATGTTCAGTATCCTGGTTGTGGTAACCATTCCCTATATGTGGAATTTATCAGATTGTACACTTTAGATATGTGCAGCATTAGATACCAATTATGCTCAACAATACTTTAACAATATATCTTTTTTTTTTAATTAAAAGCATTTCTAAAAATCAGCCTATGCAACATACTGGAAATAAAAAATGAGTATGTTTGGAAAAAAAATTAATTCAATAAATAAAGTGGAGGAGCAGACTGTCAGGATTGTGGACTTTCATAGAATTGGGAGGGTCCCCGAGAACACCCAACTCTGAGGTTGTGGACCTGGAAAACCGTTATAAAAAATACCCGGGACTGGGCCTCACCCCAACCAGTTAAATCAGAATCCCCGGGTATGCAGCCCTCGCATTGTTTTTGAAGCTCCCCAGGTATTCTAATGTGCAGTCAGGATGAGAACCAGTGAAACCCCAACCCCTCACTTGGCACATGAGGATAGTGAGGCCCGAGAGAGGGAGGGGTCTGCCACAGGGCCACCGTGTTCCAGGACCCAGGGAGGACAACAGAGGAAGAAGGAGGGACCCCTGAGACCGACGCTTCTAATGCTCAGCTCTATCTAGGATAAGGTGTCCGGCACATTTCAAGCAAATTCTTGGAACCCAGACACGCTCGGCGTTGGCCAGTGGCAGGAATTACTCAGCGCCTCAAAAGTGCGTTATTTAAGGATTGTGCTAACGTGTGAGAAGGGATGTTTCAAAACTAAAGCCTCCCTTCGTTCCCTACGTAATTTCTGATTTAAGCCAGAGGATTATAGTTATTGAAAAGAATCCAGACAGATGCACCAGGCACTCTGCTCTGGGGCACAGCCAAGTTGCTCTTTCAGAAACGAGCACGAGTCCTCAGTGTCGTGATGAGTCTATTTGGCGCTACAGGGTATTTTCATTGTGATTTCCAGGTCAGCCCCAGGCAGAAGTGTGAGTGGGGGAAGTTTATCTTTGTGGCTTCTGCTTTTCCTGTCTGTCCCTCACCTTGGCACCTCTGCAGGTACAAGGGCGGACGCGGGGGTGCCTGTGGGACCACAGTGCCGAGGCCAGCCGGCCATGGTTTAGATGGCTTCCCATCCCCCCTCCAATCCAAAGGTGCCTGATTTCCTGGGTTTCATCCCCTCAGGGCTTTGCTTACCCATCTCAGGAAAACTAATTAAAGTTATGATGTTAATAGAGAATAATTGTTTAATGAGTTATGGCCCTCCCTGGTATATTAAATAGGTTCCAGCAAGATAACGTATCTGGGAGTTCTTTGAAATGTTATATAATTACCATTTGGGGCAATCAGGAGAAGCAAGTTTTAGGCAAAATTTATAATCCCTACTGGTCAGAATTCCAAGCAACTTGCTGGGGGAAAGTATACCACGATTGGGCATTTTCACCAGAATTCCTCAAATCACATGTCACAGGGAAACCCTACAGACTGGGCTCTGAGAGATTCCATTTCCTGAATCCGTCTATTCTTTGTTAAATGTGTTCATCCTCATCAGAGATGACTGCATTTCATCTATCTTTCTGAAGGGAGAGCCACCTTAAGGTCACTACAGCGGAGATAAAGTGTCAAGAAATTCTCCTCACAGGGCTTTATAAATCTTACTGGGCTCCTTCTCCAGAGCAGAAGACTGGCACAGGCAGAGCAGCTTGCCCGGCCTTAGTGACAAGGGGGCTCCTTCCTTGGGCACCCAGCCATGCAGGCCGGGGCAAGGAGCCTGCTCAGTTCCTGTGACTCTGGGCCCTTTCTTCCATTCAGAAAGCTGAGATTGCTGAAGCTCTTGTTGGCAAGTGGCAGCAACACGCGGCATGTCCTGCCTTTGAAGAGGGGCGTGGCCAGGAGTGTCATTAACCTCCGTCTGGGGAGGCAAAGTGTGCAGGCAGCTGGGAGCCCAGGGCAGCTGGGCAGCCAGAGGGCACAGAGTCTTCGCTGATGAGAGCAGCAGCGAGGAGGGGAGGGGAAGGTAAGCTCCATCCTGAGCCCCTGGAGACCAAGAGACAGGGGACCCAAGCCCTGGGGGAAGGGATTAGGCTGTTGGCATTAGGGTGGCAGCCAAAACTGGTTGAGTGCTGCTGTTAGGAAGCCAAATGTTTCTTCTTCTTGCCATGCAGAGTTTCACCAAATAATAATGATAATAATTTTTAAAAACTGAGTGACAGGTTTGCACCGCGGATAAGTGTGAGTATCAGTGACAGAATTGCTGCCTCCCTTGGATGACTTTTCTTTGAACATTTTCCCCTCACCTTTGTTTCCAAATTCTCTTAGTTTGGAACGGCTTAGTTCACTTGGACATGTTTTTAAGGCTGTGTCATGACCTAACCCAGACTAATTCTTAGATGTTGTTGATGGCTTCCTCAAACTTTTAAAAAGCCAAGGGAACAGGGATGGTGGATAGGGGTACTCAAAGATGTAATTGTTGGCAGAAGGGTGGCCTACGTCCTGGAGCGACTTATAAAGTACTAACCTGCCCATTTAAAAACCAGCACCTGAGGATCCCGAGGCAGACCCTGGACCACACCCATCCTGTCTGCTCACCTTGGGCGGGCTGGTGGAGAACAGGCTTGAGGCTGCAAATAGAGGGATTCTCCTGATGCAGGCGGTGCATGTGTCTGCTCTCTTCCTGGCCCTGGCTTCCTTGGCCACCCCTGCCTTTCAATGACCCTGATGTGGATTTGGCATTCCAGTGCTGTTGATTTTGAACACACATGGGGTTTAGGGTGTGTAAGTACATGACTTAGCAGGTACAGGTCAGGCTGTCCTTTTTATTTGCTGGGGAAGTACCTTCATCCATCTTTAGGCGATATGTTGAACACTCTTTTCAACGGAACCCCAGTGGAACAGGCCCAGGCAGGAGACAGCCTAGCCTGGGGAGCAGAGGGCAGGTCTG